AAAAAAAAAAAAAAAAAATCATAATCATAAATATAACCGTGATATATCTGTATTAAAAATGACATTAAAAATGAGCACTTACCCTACCCAGTTATAATATTTCAGCATTATCGAGGTAATAATTAAACATCTCAGGTCACATCTTTGTTTGTGTGCCATTCGTGAAGATTTGGAATTTAATGATGACGTCATTTTTATTATTACATGCAGTAACAGCACGTAATTATATCTCTTCCCAGGTCAACCTTTCAAGTTGGACCCAAAAACAGCCCACAAGAAGTTACGTCTGTCCAACGACTGCCTGACCATGGAGAAGGACGAGAGCTCGCTGAAGAAGAGCCACACCCCGGAGCGCTTCAGCGGAACAGGCTCCTATGGAGCTGCTGGTAATGTCTTTATTGACAGCGGGTGTCACTACTGGGAGGTGCTACTCGGAGCATCCACATGGTAAGAATCGCACGCACGCACAAGTGCATTATATAAGCCTGCAAGGAGGCTTGATAAACTGAAATATCTTTCTTTTGGGAGTTTAAATCTAGGCTGTTACGCAACCTCCCCCACACACACCATACACACACACACATACAACAGACACACACCACACACAGTGTATACTCTTATCCTAATTATATTCTTTTCACTAATTGGCTGTGAAGTAGACCTTTTTCATGCACAAAAAACCCAAAGGGGCTCCGTGTATCTTGTGTGTCCTCAGCATGAGGTAGCCTGACTGTGTAAGTAAAGTCATTAAGGAGGACACTAGCTTCAGATCAGTAATGTGTTCCAAAATGTGCTTTCCCTGCAGGTATGCCATCGGCGTGGCTTACAAATCAGCCCCGAAAAACGAATGGAGCGGCAAAAACTCATCCTCGTGGGTGTTCTCACGTTGCAACAACAACTTTATGGTGCGGCACGATGGTAAGGAGATGCTGGTGGAGGCGAGTCTGCAGCTGAGGCGGCTGGGTGTCCTGCTGGACTACGACAACAATTCGCTGTCCTTTTACGATGCCATGAATTCCCAGCATATCCACACCTTTGAAATCTCCTTCCTCCTACCTGTTGTGCCCACTTTCATGATCTGGAACAAGTCAGTCATGATACTCTCAGGGCTACCCGTCCCCGATTTTGTCGATGGCGTGGCCTCGGATCTTCAAGAGCACCAACAGCAGCAAATGGGGATGTGCCGGCAAGACTCGCCATACTTGACCGGGATGAAGACCTGCCACTGAGTGGTCGTGTGACTGTAAATGCGATTAAAACACTGACACGGTGGCTCATGTTAGCTAGTTACGTTCATATGGGTTTAAAAAGTTGCAAATATGCACAGCAGTCTGGAAAAATGTCAGTCCGGTTAGTTTGTAGCCATCCAATATTTTGCAAATCCATCATCAACGAATGGGAATGAGGTCTTTCGACTGCAGCCATCAGCATACGTAAAGTCCATCCGATGCCCTGCAGTCACTGACAGAGAAAGCTTTGGTGTCCTGTATTTTCAGGACCATTTAAGGTCTTCCTTCTTTCATCTGTGTTTCACCCCAGGCAGAAGACCAAAGTGAGAATCTTCATGTCAGCCATTTAAAGTTTGAAGGTGCAGCACATGAACAGTGAAACTACTTAACCTGTGGTAGATTATGAGAAAGACAGAAAAGGAAAAATATACAGAGAAAAATGAATAAAAAACCGATTGATGCTTTGACCACAGCAGTGGAAAGTGCCATCCACCGATCCATAATAGTTATCAAACAGGTGGATGGAAAGGCCGTAGCAGATGCTTAGAATCACAATTTTTAGCTGCATCGAACCAGTAAGTGAGCCTCCTCATTCCCTGAGTATCAGGGGCACTGTTGTTCCCAAAAAAGCCGATCTTTTAATGTCTTGATTATAAATTACCCTTCTCTCTAAGGGGACAAGTAAACACAAACCTACCAGCAAATT